CAGGCGGCATTACTTTCAGAATGACCAACGTAGGAAGAGTCTATTGGATCTCCAGGACTTACCTGTTAATTAAAGGTTGTAGATGGCCTTCAGAGAAGTCACTTAGCACTAAAGTGCCTCAGGGTGACGTGAAGCCTACAGATACATTTTGTTAAAAATCACACAAAAATCTTCATGGCTTAAGAAGATTCTATGTATCTATACATTTATATTAATACATTTTGCCAAGAACAGAAGGAATTGAATGGATTTCAAGGAATGTGAAATTAAACAAATGTAAGAGGATAATGAGCTCTGCTTGAGAGAGACCCAGTGAACCGCCCAATGAACCGTAGAAAGAAAAGATGATCTAAACTCTTCATAAATATTCTTCAAAATGTGTAAACTCAAATGAGGATCTGAATAAAATAAAGTAGCTTCTCCCCTGGACTTGCATTTGCAGTCAGGCTAATAGTCACCTTGCTATTGAGTGATCTCTCACCATGCTGAGATTCTCCAGGACTATGCTTGACACACTTGTGACAATTGCATAGACTGGTGCTAGACAGTATGAACTGGCCTATGGGCAGTAACATATAATAAGTAATCACATTTCAATATCATGTCAGGCTTAGTTTTATTCTCAAATTCTGTCTGTCTGGGAAAGATGATGTACATTCAACAAGTCATGTGTCAGCCACTATATCTCTGCTTTCTAGGATGTAATTTGTAAAGCCTGTTAATTCACTTGAGAAAGAATGAGTGATTCCCATACACAGCTATTTCATTTGACTAATGATTGGGATTATCCTTGCCTGCTTTTTTTCCCCTCTTCTGTGTAAACTTAGGATATTAACTCTGGCTGTTACCTCCAATCTGGTTCCCTAGATGCGCAATCCCCTAGCTCACTCTTGTGGATAATTTATTCCTCCCATAATGCTGTATTTCAGTTTCAGGACAGTGATGGTTGGAGTGTAATAGTTGCCACAAGTAAAAGTAATGAACCATTTAGCAGTTACACAGCAGTCTGTTGCAAAGTACCTCATGGTGACTGTCTCTCCCTACTCATCTGTAGCAATAATCATTTAAGACAGTCTTTGAAATAGTGACAAGTGAGTGACTTTACCAGGCATTAAAATCTATTTCAGTAACCACACCGTTTCTGGCCCTGACCTCATTAATACTGCTGTATCACTGCTCATTCTTATAGACAGAGTGCCTTTTGGTAGTTCTAATTCTTTGGTGAGTATAAGATACAGGAGTGAAGAGAAAATAATCCATTTTAGTTGTGATGTGGAATACAATAACCCATCACCATAGCAAAGAGCATATTTTATTTGAAAAATACGAATAAAAGGTTTTGTCCCTTTTGTTTATTAAAGGAAAAATGTAACAATTTCTATCAGTAACACTTGCATAAGGAGGTATACTTTACATTAATCTTTTGTTAAAAAAAATATATATTTTGGAGACTTTGGAAAAATAAGGATGGCCCAATACTTGCAACACGCTCCTAATGTTCCTTAGAATGCACTGTGCCATTTATATGTACTGCAAGTACAAGGTCTTAGCACTTTATAATCCACAAAGTTACCTTAGGCAGCATAATTTCATATTCTCCACCACGTATAGGACATTTCCTTTGTGTGAGTCTATGAGTTTGGTTAACTCCAGATTGGCCCAAGATTTGTATTTTTTTCTCCAAAAGGATGATTTTACAAAGGCTTAGAGCACAGAAATTTTGCAATTCCTTCTAAACACCAGTGAGAATATTCACGTAGACATTTTCTCAGATTATTCGCAATTGAAACAACAGCATCAATTAGAGCTTGAAAACAAAAAAAAATGTTTACAAGTATTTTGATTTTCTACAAAGAAATGCAAAAAAAAAAAAATAAATAAAGTGCATAACAGTGAAATTGCTTTCGACTTTTACAGTTTTCTGTTTATGCAATAAATGGCAACACTGATAGACAAATGTCTTCAGTGTCTAAATCTTAATCTGAAGCCAGCTGAATTACACTTCCTTCTCTTCAAAATGCATTAAATCACTTTTTTTTACTCTTTCAATGTTTACAATATATTTTTACATTTCCTACTTACAGAGACCATTTTCTCAGATAACATATCCTTTACAGCATACTATGTGCCCCCACTATTACAAGAAAGAGAATTTATTTGAGGTAATGTGACAAATTAATTGTGTGTAAGTGCATGACTACTTCAATAGCTGTTGCAGAATTAAAATTCTACATCTGAAATCTCTTAGGCACCCCTTTCTATGTGCCATTTAATGTTCCTATGCATCTTCTAGCTTAAATAAAACTGGCAGTTATCAGCATTTATTTGTTCGCTGACAACAGGATTACTATTTAGGGTAATGGGAACGTGTTGTTTACTCACGTTCTCAAATACATCTATGAAAGCTTTAAGCAAAACCCATACGATCAGACTTAAACATAATCCTGGTAAGATTTTCTGCACAACACTGTCACTGAATTGACACCGAATTTAAATCAGCAACACTACAAAATGACTGTACCTTCCATGAAACACAGTATTAGTTTTCTTTCAGTTTAATCAATGTGAACATAGAAACTCTCAAATATCTTTTAAATTTGTTCATAGGACATGAAAGATCAAAGGAAAATTCTGTGGGATAAAGGAAATAAATCTGAAAAGTGTTCTTTTTGCATCATGAGGCCTGCTTCTGTGGCCCTGAAGATTTAGTATTCTGCTATTTGTCATGCAAACAACACGGCACAGCAATGTGCATTTGAGTAGAAAACATTAAGCATAGCAAGCATGCAGACGCATCATGACAGAAAAGCACATTTGGCGACCATCATGGATAGGACAAACCAAAAAAAAAACACACTGCAGCATTGCTGAAGTACAGCCTCAACGGCCCTGCAGAATTTTAAATGACTCAGAATCCCCAGGGCTTTGGGTAAAATGTGCATGTTGTATAGCAGCAAGAGAGCACCAGGAACAGTGAAAAGGAGGCTTCTTAATTCTGTGAGATATGACCTCCTCTTTTCATTAACTTAATGAGAACATGAGCATAAAGAGTGATTGTTTGTGTTGCCGCACTTAACTTCTGTTGGCTTTAAGCCTGAGTGTTCTATAAAGCAAATAAAAATAAAACAACGACTGGAGTACTATTTAAAGCATAAAACACATTCAATTTTCCCTGCTTTGGTGTAGGACAAGTGGGAACAGACATAAAGATAACTAACACTAGTTCTCAAAACCACTGTATAACAATGAATGCTGCTGTCTCATGTACATGCAGTACAAACTATTGTGACTCATGATACTACCAGCGTTCAAAGTCTTTCTTCTTAGCACTCTACTCATACTGTATAAAAACTGAGAAGTCAGAAAAAGCAAATGTAATCTAAATAAAAAGAAAATTTATCCTCATAAAAAACTTGCAGTTCTAGTTGTTTTATTCGGGATGAAATTGAAACACATCCTAACTCTCAGAAAAGATACATAAACCATTTCAGGGTAAGAACAAAGGTCACGGCTTTAAAGTAGCTGTTAAACTGTACTCTGCAATGAGGATGGCTTCAGTAAATGTATTGCTAGAAGATCCTGTGTTTGGTAGAAATTTAATAACAAAATCTGAATATAGATTACAAAACTACTCTCAAATCATCAGTAGAACTTGTTAGTCGTTGGATACTTTCCCCTCTAAACTGGTTTCTGAATTTGGTCAACAAATCAGTCAACAACCAGTTGATTGAAACAATACAGTTTCCAAATTGAAATGAAAACATGTTTAAAAAACCCTGGAAATAACTGCAAATAATTTTTTAATTTTTTTAAAGTGTTTGAGAAGTTTCTTTCAAAGCTACTTATTTCTCCAGAAGACTGTAAAAACCAAAAGCAATCATCAGCTTACTGGTAAGGAGTTTATTGAGTACAGACTCAGCTTGGATGAGCAAGAATTGGAATACATTCAGAAGAGAGCAACAAAGATGGTGAAGGGCATAGAAAACAGAGTTATGAAAAGTGGCTGAAGGGAACCGGGGCTGCTTAGCCTGGAGGAGACCTCATTGCTCTCCACAGCTACCTAACAGGAAGTTGAAGCGAGGAGGGTGTTGGTCTTTTTTCTCAGGTGAAAAGTGAAAGGACATGAGTCAGCAGTCCCAAGTTGCATCAGAGGAGGTGTAGATTGGATGCTAGGAAGAATTTATTCATGGAAGGGATAGCTAGACATTGCTAGGGGCTGCCCAAGGAGGTGGTAGAGTCACCATTCCCAGAGGTATTTCTGAGACATGTGGGTGTGATACTTAGGGACAGAGTTTAATGGTGAACTTGCTTTGTTAGGTGACAACGCTTAACCTGCTGATCTTGTAGGTCTTTTTCAAGTTAAATGATTCTATGATTGTAGGTAATTCTTTCCCTGCCAGTCTGAATCTTTCCATGCCAGCCCAAAGTAGACAAAACAATACACAGCTTCGGCCCTGAACAGTTTCTCTATGAAATGCATACCATAAAAGCCCACATCCCTAAGTAGAGCTCGAATCGTTTTAAAAGCACTAGACTTCAGTACATAGCAAACCTATTCAGTCATAATCCTTCATGGTTGTTAATGTTACAGCTAGAAAGATTATCATGGTGAAAACAGGAAAAGAAACAAACAGGAAAAGAATGCTCACCCATATCCAAAGATCTAAGTTCACAGAAAAGAATCCCCAGAGGAAGGATCTCTTTCCAGAAACCCTTTCCTAGTGGCAGTCAGCCCTTAAATGGGTTTACTGCCAGTCACACAGCTGAAATGCCTTCACCTGTGCTCCCATGGCTGATTCAGTCCTTTCCTCAGGTGATCAATCAGTGGTTCAGGCCATGACTCAACACTTCCCACACAGTGGTATACTGTGTTCTCCTTGTTCTCTCATAGTATTATCAGAAGACAGAGAAACAAAAGGTTAAACTTTCAAAGAAACCAAGGGGAAACAAATCTTACAGATATTAAGCAGCCTAAAGATCAAGTTCTGCAATGCAAAAAAAAAAAAAAAAAAAAAAAAAAAAAATTACCAACAAAAGAGATTGATTTATTTCATCCATAAGAAATCCAAAATGACACATTTTCTTTCTTTCACCCTCCACTGGCTTAAGATGTTTATCTTCCCATGATATTTGAAATAGGGAGAAAAAAGGTTTGTTCTGCTTAGATAGAAATTACTCTAAGACAAATTAAATATCTATATATTGAACAAGAAAAACAAGAAAACAAGCATCATCATTTTGATCACCTTGTTTAAATCTTGTGTCTCACCAGCAGCAATATTTTGCTTTTAGACACACACACAAACAGACACATTATGGTTAAGAACACTGTCATAAAGTGACTTTTGTAGCTCTTGGATTAAGACCAGCAAAAGACTTCAAAAGTTCTGTCTATTGCCGTAAGTGAAGCACAGTGAACCGAACAACTGCATACTTTAATTGTGCTGCCATTCTTGTTTTTACTGAAAGAACCCACACTTCATCTGCTCTGCTGCATAAAGAGTACTTCAGATTCATTTACATGAATGATGTTCCCATGAAAAGACAAAAAGCACACACATTGAAGACAACGCTTCTTTCAGAGTGAGTCTGGGGTTACGGTCTAGCATTGTGTTTGTACTGACAGCTAAAGATGCTCTCCCTCTGCTAGCTGGTTAGGGATATAAAGATTATGAGGGACATAATGAAATGATATTTTCACATTGCAACCTGCTAATTCAAACAGATTAAACCATCAAAGGACCATTTATTTTAGAGGACAGGTGTGGATTATCACTGCTGTTAAAGGAAAATGACTCCTAGGACTTCTCACACTGATAGTAAACCCCATTAGCTACCTTACATTGGAATCACAAGGCCTAGAGCACAGCTAGCAAGGCAACCTCAAAACCATCTGCAAATGATTTGCTCTTCCATTAGTTATCTTCCTAAACAGGAATGATCAGAAACATACTGTAGTTCAGAGATGTGAAGCATATTGCAATAAAAGTGTCATTGCCTGGCTTTACTTTAGGTACTGTTACAGATGCAGTACCATAGACTTTATTGAGCAATTAAAAATATACACAAGGGACAATTGCTTCTTTTCTCTGTATTTTTCAAAATTTTACTTTCTTCCAATTGGAGAACCCAGTTTCAAACATGAAAAGGGCACTTGTTCTACAGTAACTGTGTACAACTTGCTCGGTTCCAAGCACTGTATTCATTTGCTGTCATCACTGTTGTCGTTCTATCTCCAGCTGTTTAGGAATTTCTCTGTTCTGGGAAGCTAAGTTGTTCTTTCTGATTCTATTTCCCCATAGAGTTCAGCTAGCTTCTTGAACTCAGGCCCCCAGTCTCCAAGGTAATTATAATCCTGGTCAGACTGTGTCGTGACTGAATCCAGAGAGCTGATAGATCCAGCTTCCGATCTATGGCCCTCATAGGCATATGTCTGTAAGGAGTCATACGGGGGCACACTGGGGTCCAGATCAGCCTCTGCAAGTCTTTGTTTAATGAACTCCTGAACATTTATACTGTCAAGGCTTGAAGAAGGATGATGCCTGGGTGCAGGCTTAACTTCAGGGCGGACATCTCTCCGATACTTTAGCTCTTCTGCAGCTGATGGATTACGTAGTGCAGTGATATCAAATGCTTCTGTGTCTTCTTCTCCACCGCCCTCATCGTCATATGTCACAACATTTTCTCTGACATCTTCTTCTGAAATGATCAAAGGCTCCTTCTTGCTACGTCTTAGGGTGATGAAAAGGACCACAATTGCTAAAGAGAAAACTGCAGATTTTAGATTAGGTTTAAAGTTTACAGTTGAGGTAAGTAGATATATGCTACAAAAACAGTAGCTACTAAGTCATGAATTGAAATACTTGCCAGCTAATATTTGTATTCTGATGTTATTAAGCTGGCCTTGAACTGGAGTGTCATAACATTAGGCACATACCCAATTTGGAAAAGAGCCTACTTAGAGTTCCTAAGTGAGCAGTACCTTTTTTGTGTAATGTTATATGAAATTATATGAAGATAGATTACTGTATTCCCAGAAGGCACTCACACAAATTCTACACAGTTGAGTTTTGACATAGCAAAATGCCAAAAACAACAAATAGAGATCACACATAATTAAGGAGAAATTTAATAATCCTACTGTAAAAGGATAAACTTCCAATACAGCCTAGTCTTCCAAAGGGCCAGTAAAGAACACATTCCTATTTACTTTGCAGGAATTTCTACTGTTTCTTGAGCCAATAATTAAATCCAGTTGTTAAGATTACTAGGGGATCTCATATAGGACACAAAAAAAGATAATATACTAGCAGTTAGATGAGAAAGGAATAACTAAGGGTGACATTTTTGGGATGCATTGTTAAAGGCTTTCTGAGCTTCATTAAGACTAATATTCAGCATTTGACATATAATTAAAATGTACAAACTTTATTTTTTTCTCTTATGAATGTTCAATCTTCTATGATAAAATACTAGATTAAAAACCAAATGTATTACTGTACATTTCAAATCTTTTTTTTGCAGAAGGAATTTCTGAAGTAAGATGTGAGAGGTGCACTTTTAGAAAAGGTTGACTCTTCAGAAAAAAAATCCTCAAAGTATCCTATGTGAGTCACCATGCAATTCCTACTATTTCTTTTTCCAGCTCTATTAGAATGCAGAGAGACACCTGAATAGATGAATATTACAGAGATATGTACCCAGCAAGTTTTGCCTCTGCCACAAAAAAAAAATAAAATAAAATAATTAATGGGTAACATTTAAATTGGCCCGGGTAGGAAAAAAAAAAAGGAAAGAAAACACACTTGCAAGGACATTTATCTACTGGAGCCATCATATTATCTCACATGTCCCTTGCCCCCAAGGAGTATGTTGTGCACTGCTATCAGCTTATCTCACAAAGGTAATTAATGGCTTTTGTATAGTAGTAATGGTGCTTCTTACAGTGTAATGCATTTCAAAAAGCTTTCCTCATCATCTCTTTTCTATCATTTTTTGCACTGTTCTAGGCATGGAATTAGTCAGTGGTTTTTTGAAATCTTTTCAAATTACAGAAAAATGGTCTGCAGTGCTAATTACTTGATAACCCCTGAAAAATTATTTCTAGTGGATTCCAGATATTCATGAATGTGCTTTAAAGGCTTTTTTTCCTATTAATTTTAGCCGAACCTTTCCCCTCTAATCACAGCTATGTGTTTCTAATTACTTCCTTCTACCAGGCAGCTTCTGGTTCAAAAACATATCATATTAAAAATTTCTGCCCTGTCACATTCATAGAGCCAGCAGAAGATGGCAGTACTTAATATTGAAAATGACTTACCAAGAAGAATGACAACACAGAGCAGGATTGCAATTAAAGCTCCTGTGCTCAAGCCAGCTGAGGAGAGGAAAGCTTCAGCATGGCAGGTTCTCACACGTCCATCTCTCTCACATGCACAAACTCTAACAGTGAGAGTACTGCTGCTGCTGAGAGGGGGCACTCCACCATCAGAAATCAAAATTGGGAGGTAATACATATCTTGAGTGGTTCGACTGTATCTCCTTCGTCTTGTCAGGATACTGGCTGTGTTATCTACAATATCATAAAAAAGAACAGAATCTGAAGCAAAATGAAAAATATGATTGACCGTTCATTCCCCATCCAGCAGAAGCACCAGGCATTTTAATATTCCACAATCCTAATCTGTGAAAATACACAATCCAGATTAAAATTGAGTGAGTACCATTTCTGGTCAAAGGAGGAAAAAGAGGAGGCAGGAAAAAGTAACTAGAACTAAATAAATAAGCCTTATTTAAGCTTGTGTCTTAAAGTCAAACTGGATTTTGACAAACATTTTGAACCCAGGTTGCAAGTGTTTTAATCCCATGATACCCTTGTAAATGTGAATATCTAGAATTCTGCAAATATCTGTTGTGGAATTTTTCCACAACAGAAGTCCTTTTGATTCTTAAATGTCTCTACTAAAAGTTAAAATGAAATTTTCATATGTTAAGGTTTGTGACAGATTTTATAGATGAATTGAGCTTTCAGAAAATATCTGAAAGGACTCTTGCAGTAGGGAGATCAGGAAGAAGAGAGAGGTGGAAGGGAAGGGAGAGGAGAGTGGCAGAGAGTGCAGATTCTAGATATTTTAAACTGATGAAGATATAAGGTAAATAAGGATGGTAGAGAGAAAGCGATGCAAAATTCTGTCACTGTTATGTTCATCTGGCATGTATTACAGTTAGTGAGAATACTAAAGCTTACTATATGCGCATTGAAAGAGCATTTATGAGCACTAATTAGGATGGTAAACTGCCACCCATGTTTCTTCAAGTCTAAAAAATGTAAGGAGCATGAAGAGAATGCAGAGGAAGAAATGCTATGATAATATACAGTTACATCTTGATTTCAAATGTAATATTGCATTTTGATTAGTTGCCCCAACTTTAAAAGTATGGGCACTTCAACAACAGTCTGTAAGTAAAGCAAACAAAACTAGAGACTAAGATACTGGAAGTGTGAGGTGATCCAGAGAGAAATCGTGATCAAGAAGCACGGAGAGAGGTTGGAATAAATATGCTCTCTCCTCATTCCACTTGCACATGATGTGGATTTCCAACAGCAGGATTGTGGTTTTAAAGATTTTTTAAAAATAACGAAGAGGTGATAAGTGCAAAAAAAAAAAAAAGTCTTCTGGATTTTTCTTCGTATTACAAAAACAAACAAACAAAAATGAACACAGAAAACTTATTTTTCCTTACCACTGCAGACACAGCACTAAATGTGTTTTCCATAAATTATGAAAAAATGAAGCCTGTGCCACTTTGTGAAAATTTAGCATGACAACACATCTAGTGTGGCATATTCCAGTCCATGGGATTGCTTATTTTCTGCACAGGTATTTGAACAGAGGTATTATTTTCCATCTAAACTGGGTGCAAACTATATACCAGATGATTATGTTTCACGCCACGTCATCTGTCCAGCTCTATACCAAACTTTAAAGCATTAATTTTAAATCACCTCTCTACATTTTATTTTGGTGTATCACTGAGTAATAGTACTGATAATATCTGTTAGGGTAGCCTGCAGGCATAATATCATAATATATTTGGTAACAGCTTTCACATGAGAAATATGTATGAAGTAGGAATTACCCACGGTCACAGAGGAGCCAGGCTTCTGACCCCAAAACTGCACAATGTCAGATTCTCCTGCATTGAACCTGATTAGCTCTCTTCTCCATCTTCCCTAATTCTTGCAAATCTTCAGTATGGTTATTTTGCTACAAACTCATTCAGTTTTGTTCTCATTTGCAATGGGTGCAAAATATGATTTCTATTTGTTTATTGGTTTTCAATAGGCCTCTTCAACTTTGTCATGCCACAGCGCACTTTTGAGGACTGAAACTTGAGATTCATGCCAATTTCTTCCTCAGAGGCATGACACCAGCCACATACAATGTCATTCACATTCATTCAATTTACAAAACCCTATTTAAGCCAAGATGGTATGAACAGATAATTTTGTCACCTGAAACAATCTTATACAAAGCAAGATCACAACATTATGGAAATAAATAATATTTGCAAGAGTTTATAAAATATCTTTGATACATTCACATGCCATAATAAAAATATTTTCAATAATGAGCAGAAGACTTCCCACACAGAGTTGATAGAAAAAAAGGTAAATCACTTTTAACACAGGGTGATGAAAGGGATTCCTGTATAACTGAAAACTTAAGAAATGCAGAAAGATGTCTCTTATAAACATTTTGATAAACTTTAACACTATTCCATATTGCTTAATCTGGGCCTATGAAACCCTATTCAAAATGCTCTGATGTTCTTATGTTGAAATTTTTAATTATTATGTTGTTAAGAAATACATAATTTCCAAGTTATTCTGCACCTAGACTAGGGAGTGAATTGTTCTATTTTATAAAAGAAGGAAGAAATCAAACTTGATAACACCAAGACTCAGACTACATTTATTTTATAAATAAAATTCTTCCCTAAAGCAGAGTGAGCAGTGATATTTGGACCATAATTACAGTCTGTGCCCACCTGGAGAGGTCTTACTTGGCTTTTCTGACCTAATTTTAAAATCCGAGCAAAAATCTCATTTAAGAAAATTGAACAAACTTGTTCTTTGATAAAAGTGTGGTCTATTTTTTGATTAAATGCAGTACCTGAACAATCAAAATGATATATTTTAAAATGCTCCTGAAAAAAACACATAATGTCATGGAGCACAGATTGCAGGTAGATCACCTACATGGCTTTGAAATTAAAAAGCAGAGAGTAAAGTAAGCAGCTTTACTTTAGCTGCAGAAAGTTTCAACTTTCTGCTACCTAATGTCGCAAAAAAAAAAAAAAATCGTTTTTTTTTTTAAATAATATTTAACCTATTTGCCACTTCTTTTTTTTTTTCAATGCCTGGACTGTCAGTCCCAGCTTCCCTAATGGTGCTCTAGGTGTGGATAAAAGTCTTTCAGGGTTCAAGCAGAATACAAAATGACCTTCAGTTGGTTGGTCTGTCAGCTGCCAAAGCACTGGCAGATTAGGCTCTGGACACAGCACAAGAGCAGAAAAAAAACCAAGCCGTAAATTTGTGATTAATAAGGAATTTCAAATGAATGCATATTTTGCATGAAAATAAAGTAACACACTAGTTATACACACAATGCGATGATTGCTGCTTCTGTCTTACTCTATTCAGGAAGAAACTTCTCATCATCATCTTCCTCATAAGGACGATAGACTTTACAAACTTTCTGGTTCTTCAGTATCCAATTTATAATTGCTTCCTTCCTTGAAATGCACCTTGTTACAACTTACTAGCAGAGCTCCTCTCTATCAATTTCCATTTTTTATCTCTGTCATGGTTTCATGGTTTTTCATCAGTATTCCACATCATGAAATCATGTGGTGCACAGGGAGTTAAAGTTAATGCTGCAGTTGCGTGGATTGTCAATATACTTCATGAGTTCTGGTCTCCTGGAGTCAGAAGAGAAGAATGAACTACAACTCCCAGATTTCATTTTACCGTTTCCATTTTCCATTTGGAGGGAAAGATAAAACAGACTGGAAGTAACAAGACTTCCACTCTTTGCTCCCTGGCTGTTTTTACCCATGGCATTAAAGTAATGACTTTGGTTTTGGAAACTCTATCTTATTTTATTTGGTTTCTTAGATTCAAATTCAATCACTGTATTCCAACATTGTACTATACTGTGCCATCTCACATTCTGCTACTGTATTTAATTTTTTATTTTTTTTTTCTTAGCTCACTGCCTTTGTTATCATTTGTCCAGACCCCTTTCCCTCCCTTTTCCCTTCCCCCCCCCTCCTTCCCTTTCCATGGCATGGGTCCGTGGGTACCTTTGCCCCCTCATCACAGAACCTAGGCTGAGCCGGGCTGAACCATGGCAATCTTCTGTGCTCTGCAGACTGTTAAACAAAACAAGGCTGGGGAGCGAGTAAGATCTCAGAAGAGTGATCATTCACATTGCTGAATTTTAGCACTCTTCCTGGGATGCTGTATGGGCCAGCTAAGAGTCTGTCACATAAAACCCAGCCTGACGCAATCGCATACAGCAGAGATCTTCCCAGCAGGCAGTGTGGACATGAGTGCACCAGTTTGCCTAGTGGTGAAAAAGGAAAAGGTGAAGAACCATTTCCTAACAGCGAGCTGCCCCTCCCCTGACACAGCTCCATGCCGCTGTTGCTGTCACAGAGGGCAGAGCTCAGTGCTGCCCCGAGCTGCAGCTGCCATGAGGCCTCCCCTCAGCTCCTCTGCTCTGTGCTGAGCAAACCCAGGGATTACAATCACTCCTTGTATGTCTTGCCCACCAGATATATCACTATCTCTGTTGTTTTCTTTTGGACACGTTAATTATTCCAACAGCCTGTGGGTCCTCAAGTATCCTCAACAGCTCTGTGCTACACTCGCAGCACGTAGCTTCTTTTCATGCTATGGTAATACTGCTCTGTTGGGCTGCCATACAGCTTTCATATTATTTCATAACCTCATAAAAAACAAAACAACAACAAAAACATAATGATGAAATCTAAGCACCTTTGGGTCCTGAGGAGTTACAAGGACAACTGCTATGCAATTGTTACAGTCAGCCTGTTATTATGCTTCATTGCAAGAAAACAATCACAGTTCTAGCTTTTATTTTAAGTTACATTTTTCAATTTTTTTCCTCCTCAGTATCAATACTGCTACAATAAACTATTGTCTACTGGTCACCTAGAATTTCCCCTGAAGTCATTAGAGAGGCACAGCACTCCCATGTGCACATTTTAGGGCACACACTTAACAACAGGAAGAGAAAGCAATTTCAAAAAAGTGGCATTTCTAAGGAGAATTCTATTTCAAGTTGCAACAAGTGAAGAAATGACAATCATACAACAAAGTTATCCAGAAGTAATACCTTAAAAACCTAAGGATGTGTTCAAGGACTTAGCTTGAAACTTAATTCCCTATTTCTATATCCATAAGCTAAGCGTTAATATTAACATCTGTCATGTCTCACATTCTAGAAGAAAAAAATTCTCAGATCTTATTCTGATAACTTC